TTTGATCAAAAATATACAATAAAATCAGTAATATTGTAAAATATTATTACAATATATTTTAAAATGTAATTCATGATGAAAAATCAGCAGCCACATGATGCCACTGTCACATGATCTATCAGAAATCATTCTAATATGCTGATTTGGTGCTTAATAAACATTTCATAGTATTGTCAACGCTAAAAACAGTTGTGCTGCTTGCTTAATATCTCTGTGGAAACCATGATACATTATTTTCAGGATTCACTGATGAATAGAAAGTTCAAAAGAAAATAATTTATTTGAAATAGAAATCTTTTTAACATTATAAATCTCTTTACGGTCTCTTTTGATCAATTTAATGGATTCTTGCTGAATAAAAGTATAGATTTCTTTAAAAAAAAAAATCTTACTGACCCCAAACTTTTGAATGGAAATGTATTAACACAGCATTTTCATTTTCCATGCGAGGAGAAACTATTGGAAACTTGTTGCATCATGCCTGGTTAGGAAAATTTGGCCTCTCTTTGTGAGATGTTATTTCGGTTTAACCTTTAGTCCGCACAGCATCTGATAGACCAGGAACTGGATCCGGTCTTCTGTAAGGACGCCCTTGACTTTAGAGAGATCTGTGTACATGTACGGCATCACCAGGTAGCTAAAACAGAAAGGAATTGCTTATTTCTCGTTTTATTTAAGGAACAGTTCACCCAAAAAATAAATTCGGTCATTATATAATGACCGCCATGTTGTCTCAAACCCATAAGCAGTTATTCTCTCCATTAGAAAAGGATCTTCATGCAGCTCTTTTACATCATGATCAGACTGAAATTAAAGTCACTATGAACTGTCGTTTTATAATAAATAAAAAAAAGAGAGATAAAGGTTGAGTAAATAAAGACAGATTTTTTTTTTATGGCTGAACTGTTTCTTTAAATCTGTCTCAGGACATATGGCTAACAGATAGATCTCACATACACAGGCCTCATTAAAGACTTACAAGTCTTGGAAGTTGTCCATTCTGGAGGCAGGAGTGAAGACGTCTAGCAGGCCTATCACCTTGGATTGGACAGCAAAAAGGCAAGAAGTGAGTCACCGTCTTTTCCAGATATTAATATGGTGTTAGATGGACTGAATAAGGCTGCCTGGGTTTCAGTGTTCTGTGTATCTTTTAGATATTAATATAAAAACACAGTTTATGACACTGGAATCAATCATCATTGTCTCCAGGCGCCACAAGTATCCTGTACAGTGCACACACACTGCTAAACATTTGATACTCGCACCATTCTCAATGAAAACAATGAGTATGGTGTGATACAAGTCTTTTGTGTCTTGCAAAAGCCACTCAAACCCATTGAAACCTCTTTCTGGTTGTGCTGAAATCTAGCACTAACAATGAAAACAACAAGATCTGACCACGACACATGTCAGGCATAGACAACACTTACGTTTTCATGTTTCATATGCTTGAGTAGCCTCAGTTCACGATAGGCTCTCTTTGCGAAGATCTCCGACTGAAAGGGTCGGTGCAGCTTCTTGATGGCCACCTTCTCTTTGGTTTTATTGTTGATGGACGAGCTAAGATAGGGAGAACAATCACTATGTATCATACCCAAACATTATGAACTGAGGTTAAAGTTTCAAGAAGCTGTAACAGATTCAGGAACTGATATAGAAAAGTGCAATATTCAAGAAACTACACAAGCATGTTTTCTGATACAATCCACACACACACTGCTTTGCTGTAAAGACTAAGTTGTCAGGGAATGTGGGTTTCACAGTCGCCCACTTTCACCAGAGTTTGATCATACAGCAGTCGTCAAGGTTTTGTGGCATCAAACCCTCAACAGGAAATGTCAATGCTGCTGGGATAGATCATATCCTGACTAATTTTAGCAATAACGTGACTGCCATAGTAAATGCACAATACAGTAGCACAGATAAACATAAATGTCCATAGCAAAAGGCCTGCAAAATCAGGAATGCTGGATACATTGGTGACATCAGTAACAATGTCAGCCCATTTGCCCATTGCTGGATGTTGAAAATGTCTAACTAGAGTTAAGAAAAGAGTTTTAAAGCATCAAAACATCCAGTTTTATTCATGTTTTCAACTGCACAGTACATTTGACACCTGGCTTTCACTTAAAACATGTGATTTCACTAGTTAAATCACATATTTAAAAACAGTCTAAACAAAATAGAGTTCTACCATGTCTGTTACCATTCATAACAAAATTATAATTGGTTATCGTATCAGGCCAATTTCAGATTGCCCCTACATATGTGTATTATATAACTCCACACAATCATTTATAAGTTGATTTAGGATTTAAACTATAACCAGGCTATAGGAAATTTACAAGTGGAGATTATAGGAGTGATTATTCACAAGATACTAGAAGTTAATCCATTCATTAAGTAATGTTGTTGTGTTGTTACCCTATTAACCTATGCTTTTACTAACGTTAGTAAACATTCACTAGATACTATAGTAGGACTTATTATTAACTATTTAGTAATGAGTAACTAAAGATTACGCATGGAATACTTGTCAGTTTTAGGATAGTGACTAGTAGCAAGTACTAATGACTAATAGAATTAACAATAGTCACTATGAACGCTAACAAAATAGCAGTTCGTTGAATGCTAATGCGGCTTGCCACACGGCGTCTTTCTAATCTTCATGCATGCGGTAACCTGTTGAGATGCAGCTCATGTGCGGCTACCTGTCTGCCAGGAACTTACTCACCACACGCTGCCATACGCTCCAGTTCCGATCTGCTTCAAGCAAATGTACTTTTCCGGAACTTCCCATACCGTACTGTTAATCTCCTCTCGATTGAATCCTACTCGTGACTCCATTTAGCTGTGAAGGAAAACTGACAGAAATCAAACCTTCACCGCGCACACAGCGACTCCTACGCGCTTTTCTGCATTCGAGCTCCAAAAGGTCACTGCGTAGGAACGATTCTGTTTCACGCCAAAATACAACGGCCGTTTATCTGGTTCTATGTAGTGCGGAGCGGCCGCGGAATCGACGTTTTAAATCACGATCCATCGAAACTTTGAAAAGCTCGCTGTAATCGAACGCGCTGAGATCTGTCTGACGTCGACGTCATGATCCCCGCACACGCCCACTTTCGAATTCAAGCAACTGCAGCTTTGAGTGACACATTGCTGCTCACCTTCATGTAAACACACATCTGGGTGGTTCAGTACCAGCACGTACTAATTAACTACTATGAATGTAAAAAAAGGCAAATGCGAAAAAAACTAATTTATCTCACAATTTGTTATGCTCAAACTGTCCCTCTGCTATATGATTGACATTTGTGATTGATAATAATCATATAAACTCTTTTGAAGTATCTCTCTCTGAAATGATTCTTTGTAATAAAATATTAACATAAAACCGAATTAAAAGTTTGATTTAAAGAAATATTAACTAAATTAATAAATATGATTTTTTTTTTTTTAGAACGGAAATGAATCAACACTGAACTTACTTAAAGGGATAGTTCACCCAAAAATTAAAATCAGCCCATGATTTACTCACCCTCAATAGGCGTATATGACATTCTTCTTTCAGACGAATACAATCGGAGTTATTTTAAAAAATGTCCTGGCTCTTCCAAGCTTTATAATGGCAGTGAATGGCCGTTTCTATTTTGAAGTCCATAAAAGTGCTTCTATCCATCATAAAAGTAATCCTCACAGCTCTGAGGGGTTAATAAAGGCCTTCTGAAGCGAAGCGAAGCGTTTGTGTAAGAAAAATATCCATATTTAACACGTTATGAAATAAAAATAACTAGCTTCCGGCCAAACGAAGATATGGATTCCACTTACGCCTGCGCACTATACGCTACTTCCGACGTTACAAGTTGAGCTTTAGGCGTAAGTGGAATCCATATGTTCGTTTGGCCGGAAGCTAGTTATTTTACTTTATAAAGTTTTTAATATGAATGATATATTCACCTAGGATGACTTGAGGGAGTAAATCATGGGCTAAAGAGCGAAATTGACAACGAAGGCCGAGGAGACTTGCAGACTGTATGTTAATGACTTGATTTATCCGCGTTTTAATATGCTCTTGTTCAGAGATTTTTAGATGGATACCGAGGCTTTTTAGGTTGGGTAGAATCTGCAATCTCTGACCCAGTTTGTTTACTGCAATGGCTGCAATATGCTGTGTTTCCTGACACCTGGCATCCAGGGTTGTCGAAATACTATTGGGTGAATTGACAGTGGGTGAGATCACACAAACAAAAACAAAAACAGATAGTCCAACACGGAACTCACATTTCAAAGTAAAATAACTGGCTGTAGAAGTGTTTGTCAGAGAAATGACTATGTGAACTCAGCATGTTTCCTAAATATCTGCAAACATATTATGGTATTTTTATGCTTTAGTAGAGTGAAAAAGTTACATACAGCACCTTTAAGCTGGACAATGACACAGCTGCTGTACAGCCAAAACTAACTTTGTTGCATTATTTTCCTGTTATCACTGCAAAGCTGCTTTGAAACAGTCTTGTAAGAAGCACTATATATAAATAAAGGTGACTTGACTTGATTTTTAGGCTCTTAAAAAAAAAGAGCAAAGCATGCTTTCCTTTGCAGTTTTATAAATGCATTTGAGGGGAAACTAAAAAGTAATATTTGGGAAATTCCGCAAAAAAAAAAAAAAAAAAAAAAAAAAAGTTAACAAAAATATGTGCTAGGCCCATAAATATATAAAAAATATATTCACACTTCACAAAAAGAGATACTACTCCCAGATTAGTATCTCTGGGTCTGGGAGATACTAGACCTTGTTATGTTTTAAAGTAGGCTACAATATAGAACACAACAGTAAAAATAAAGACAAACACTCTGGAAAAACATGAGTGACGTGTGCATTAAAAGTGAAATGGTTAAAATTGTGTTTTGGTATTTTTTCTAAGAAGAAATGCATATTATTCATTCAAAAGCAAATCTGTGAGGCTCAAATTCACTTGTGGGACATCAGCAGATATTCGGCCTGGCTGTTATGGAAACTGACATGTCCTATTGGTATATCAGGACAGTTATACCAATGTGATTGATAGTACAGTAAAGGTTATATAATAGTGAGCCATCACAAAATTAAATGCAGTAGAGAATCTGGGAGTAGTATCTCTTGGATATTCCCTCTGGGGCATATTCATCTCTCTATCAGTTTTACAGGCACTGAACCACTCAATTATTGGAAGGCTATGACTGTGAAAGACAAAAATAAATTCTTACAGGCTCTCCACTGGCCCATAAATGAAAGCTTATTTATTTAAACATTTGCTATCCACCAGATGGCACTGTCAGACAGTCATAATGTGAGCAGCATCACAGCAGTGTAACATTAGTCATAACGCCATCATCACAAATATATGAGTGATTCATGACCCAACTTTACTGCATTTCCCATTTTTTAGGTTGTGAACCCATGAAAACTTATAAGGTCACGAAGTTTAATAAATTAATATTAATATGCTTTGGTATAGAAGTAATATAAAAGCATTAAAAACTAGGCTTGTCTAATAAGCCCTTATACCCGTCTAACATTTTCAGTGTCAGAGAGCTGGCTGACATGCTCTTGTAAAAATGATGAATAAAAAAGAAGTCACTCTTTTACGGCCACGACTTCCTGTGTTGCAGTGCAGAGATAATTGGCTCATTAGCAGCAGACTGCGTTGTGGTGGGCTCTTCCTTCCTGAACTAACGGTTGTGTGTGTGTGTGTGTGTGTGTGTGTGTGGGAGGGGGGGCTTTGGCTCTTTATCCCCTATCTGAATAATCACACTGGATCTAAATGTCAGTAGTGTCACTCTAATATGTATTCATAACACGGGGGGTTTTATTTATTAAAAGATCTGGGTGGTGATGTAAACCCCAGCTAAAATACACATTTAAACCTGGATTGACACATCTGCAAATCATTTCAAATGAATACATTTAGGCTTTTCTATCTTGTTTCTTGGAAAGCCTTAATAATGCACTATAATAATGCATTCAGAAGTCTTAATAAAACATTCAGTGTATGTTTTAAAGGGTTTAAATCTTGCAGACTGTTTTGAACAGAGAAAATTTGACAGGTATGAAATTGTGGTTTCCCAACTGGCTTTTCTTCAGGACCAAGATTTTACATATAGACAACAACTGGCCGATGTTGTCATAGCTTCAAATTAGAATGAATTACACATCAGTTGAATGCCTTCACTGTAAAAAAAAATGATCAATAAGTTATGACAACATATGTTTTTACTTTGCTTTAACTCATCAAAATAAGTTAAGCAACTTGTTTATAAGTTGCAAGATTCAACTCACTTTAATGTCAGGTTAATGTAATTTAAAGGGTTAGTTCACCCACAAATGGAAATAATTCTATAATTTACCTCAAGCCATGGGTGTACAGTATTATGACTTTCTTCTTTCAGCCAAACTAGCTTCCAATAACGGCCATCCGCGCGACTTTAAAGGTGCTCTAAGCGATGTCGGGTGACGTCAATTCTTGTTGACGTTTAAAGTATTGTCAAACAAAACGGAGGCTAGCTAGACCCTCCCTCCTCCTCATCCGCGCACTAACCCCCCAAACCCCACCCCCAAATCCTTCTTGTCGGTTATTGGCTGGAACAGTTTGTTATGTTTCGTGGTGCAGCTTGGCCCAGTTTGTTTTTGTTGCCGTTTGTGGAGCCTGGGGTGTCTGCAGAGACCGCGTTTTTTACAGTTTGTTCAGGGGACAGGCAGTCAGCGGATAGTGAGGAGATGTTTGCTGTATGTGACAAAAAATGTTTTGGCCTAAAAAACGTGTGGCATCGCTTAGAGCACCTTTAAATTTAAAGCCAGTGATTCTATTTAATAAAGTTGTAAATATGAATATTTTTTCATATTTTTGCTTCGCTTCAGAAGGCCTTTATCAACCCCCTGGAGCTGTATGGATTATTTTTTGAGCTTGGCTTGAGGGTGAGTATATGGGATAATTTTCATTTTTAGGTGAACTAACCGTTTAAGTTGAAATTACTTAAATTTTGAAGTACAATCAACTTGGATGTTTAAGGCAGCAACTTTGTTTACAGTGTTCTGACATCCACAACAAAAGATATGAGTAGTGTTTTTGCCTCCCTTTTAAAAGCCTTTTGATTTATTTTTCCATGTTATAATTTTGCTAACTATGTATTATATAGTTGGATTTACCCAATCAGAACAGATATGCAACAGATTTTTGGGTCACGAACCAGTTAGGGACAATTTAATGTACTGAAATTAAACTGCAGTGTATTCACCCTTTCCTTCAAACAACCCAATTTACTCCACTTTCTCTCTAAAGAGAGTTCGGAGAATGGAAGAAGTGTGTCAGGTTAGTTTGCCTCTCAACTCATGAATAATTTAAATAGCATGAGATTTCATATTAGTGCATATTTAGACATTTTCCGTGTTCTGTCGTAAAAAAAAGGACATTGAAGATGACTGGCTGCTTGTCTATGGGGAACTGCAGTCATATAGAGGGGTTAGAACAAACAAACAAATCATTCATTATTTTCACTTGTTAAAATCCCACTTGTAATCAGATCAACAGTTCGTTCTGCGTCTAGAAAATTACACTGCTTGACTGGCATTTCTGATCCTTTTTTCAGGTCTTGCGTATTTAGATGTGATGTGAGAGAGAGTTCATTCAAAGGAAAATCTGAGAGATGCAGGAAACAAGTAGAGGTTATGTTGGAGTGTGTTCCAATCACCTGAGAATGCCCTGCGAAGTGGTCTTCAAGATACTATTCGGTCTAGTGAGATTCCAAATCGAAGGGAGTTTTTATGCTCAGTCTGAAAGACACAGCAAACGGCATATGGAACAAGTGTATCGAAAGTAACAGGATATGAAGAGGGATATTTACCCATCAGTCATGCAGTGCACTATAGGCTACATGAAATGTGGCCAAACCCCTAAATGACAACTGGTTACATAACAGTTAAGACGCATACATAAAATTAAACATTGCAATTGATATGCCAGGCTTCCGGTGTCAAAAACAGTCTGTTATGCTGCTTGATGTAGTTTGTTATCATTTTATTTTGATTTATCATAGTAATCATAATAAAACTGGTTTGAAGTGCAATTTGTGTCACCATTTACTGCATGTTGTTATTCTAGCTGCATGTTTACCAAATACGGCTAATGAATCGGAAGGCTCGCAGATTTTGAAATTGATTACTTGCACGTGAATGTCCTAAATGAATCAGAGGCTGCATCCAAAATCGCAAAAACAAATACTTCAAATACGGCCTCCAAATGGGTCCCTCGTTTCCTGGACAATGAAGGATTAAAAAAGGTGGACCTTCGCAGCCTTGTCTACCCTAGAATTTATTGCGTGCCAGTGACAATAGGATTTTTTTTTGTTCACTTCTAAACATAAGCTTTGGGTTTTACCTTACTCAAATATCTAATGATATAAATAAAAACTTTAAAGCAGTTCAAATGTTGACATATCTTACTAAAATGCAATTATATAGATTATACTCTTTATTATTACACGGCTCTGTGGAATACTTGATTCTGATTGGTCAATAGCGCTATCCAGAGGTAAGTTACTCCCAGATAACAACCGCTCAAAGCAGATAACGCAGGCTCATCCGGGTCACTGAAGTCAGCAGTGCTATACGCCTGCTAGGAACGGTTTTTCTTCGTGGAAGTTTTGCGTTTGGTGAGCTAATAAAATATTAAAACTCAGTCGAATCAATATTTTGTGTACAGTTATTTAATTATGCCATCCAGTATCGTGGACTCGCTCTATATTGTTTCATACAAACGCAGCTGCTGCCATTTTGTGACTACCCAGACAGTTGGCCCAGATCCGGCCCACATCCAGGCTGTGTGATTCCAGGTGTACCAGATGTGGGCCGGATCTGGGCCGATATGTTGCTGTCTGGGTATTGTTTTGTACACTGTTGGATTATGAGATACAAACAGGTACGATTTTTAAACAGTTTAATCTGAAATCAATATATCTTATCCCCATAATTATTTATGTTGCGAAATGCTGTGTAATAAGTGATATGAATGACTGTAGACCGTATCTCTTAAATGTCCGTTTAGTTTGAACTTGCCGCACTGCAACTGCTCTCTCCGCGAAAGCTTTGCGTTTAAAGACAGATCAATATTTCGTGTCTAATTATTTACTTCGCAACGGGGTCCTCATCATCCTGTCGGGGGTTATTTTGAGAGAACCACCGGCTGGATGTATTATCCCTTACTTATATACAAAAATGGCCTGTGGTGAACATATTTAGACAGTTTGTGAACCCTGTTTTGTTTTCACACAGTTTAATATAACTTTCAAAAAAGTCGAGTACAAACGTTACTGTCACCCCTCAACGGCAGCTGTCACAGTTGATAGGCGACAAGAACAGTCCTCTGTAGACCGTCCCATTCAACAACATAGTCCAACTTTGGCCTTCGAGGGATGCAGCCACTGAATTGGGACACAGCTAATATCTCACTCATAAAGGCAATTCGCTTGTATTGTTCCAGAATGAATCAGTGCTGTTGAACAAATCGGTTGCATAAAAGAGTCAATGACTGGCTCAAAGACAGTGGCTGCATCCAAAATTGAATATTCTCTTAAATAGGTACTTATTTTAAATAAGTACTTTGCGAGAGCTAAAAAAGTATGTTCTATATAGTATGAGTGCAAACTAGACGTACTGCATTCGCCATGTTGTCATTATCATGTGTCCTACCAGCATCAGTTGTGTCGCTTCACTGCCGCTCACAAATCCTCTCCTGTGGCCTCATGGGATAGTAAAGTGTCCATCGTATGCACACTTCAGGTCATTTACGTTGCAGCCTAAATAACGCACAAATCAAGTAAAACTAGACATCTCCCGATTGGCATATAGGAAACCTTGAACACTGCTCAGGGACCCCATGAAGCAGAACACAGCTTATCACAAGGAAGACATTCATCCTTTTTCATGAGTCCTGGTTGCCATGTGACCATCCAGGCAGTGATTAGAAACAAATTAAAGATGTGATTTCACAAGTTCCACCTGCTTTACCGAGGAATTAATCACTGGCCTCAATCAATGATGCTATCTGGGACTGGCGGTAAAAAGACTCTGGCGTGATTAATGGCGACGACCTTCTCCATGACCCAGACTCCTCTTCTCAAATCTCTTCCATTTAGATGTGACCCCAGGACAGGAAGTTGTGCAAGGAGCCCACAGCATGCTAATGCTACCAACAATCCACAAGAGGTCGAGCAACAGCACGCTATGGCTCACTAACTGCGCTGCTCAGTGCTGTCGGATCTCAGCATGTCCTTTTTAAGACGACAAGGCACCTTGGGAATGATGTTTCAAACACGAGAACGAGTTAGGCTACTGCATCTTCATGATTCAGAGATTACGTGGAACGTTCTGTGATCCAAACCGTTCCGCTTAGCAACAGGTTTCTTGTTTAATTCGCCTCATTTACGAGCTGATTTGCTCTGCTTCGGCGGTGTGACCTGCATGGGAAAGGCTATGTAAATGCCATTTGCCAAGTTCAGATTTCTCTTGCCTCTCGCTCTTCATTTCCTCTCATTTCACCTCCACTTCCTCCTCTGCTGGTGTTTAGTCAGTGGCAGTAAAAAGGCTCCTTTTAGGGCCGAGGATAGAGATAATGAAAAGTCCCTGGTCTTGTGAATGTTTCATTTGTTTTAAAGAGATTGAAATTGGATGGCAGATGGGTAATAAGCTTTCTTTCTATTCCCCCATAGACACATGGACATCCACACAATCACTCTTTCTTTTCTCTTTGCAAACACACACACACACACATTTTTAATTATGCTCGACAGTGCCGGCGGCCCTGCTCTGTGTGACCGGTCAATGTACATTCGGGCAACAGTAAGCACTGTCATTACCATCCATTACATTAAGAGATGGGCCTGACGAGTCCTTTTTACCACACCGTTGCCAGGGTCTCTCTCTCTCTCTCTCTCTCTCTCTCTCTCTCTCTCTCTCTCTCTCTCTCTCTCTCTCTCTCTCTCTCTCTCTCTCTCTCTCTCTCTCTCTCTCTCTCTCTTTTTCATTGTATCATTGTTATAAACTCTTAATGAGACACTGTTGTGCCGCAGAGGCTGCTGCGCTGGTCATTTATGTATCTCAATTATTTATGCATGGGTTTATTTGCTCATTAATTTGCATTCATTGGGAAATTAAACACATGAGAAATTTCGGGTCCTCCATTATTCGACTACAGCACTTACCCCTTTCTCTGACAGAGAATATGAAACACTCTACAAAACAAACAAAGCAAAATGAGCCAAAACTGATAAATACAGAGGGCTGAATTTCATCCAAGATCACATATGAAATGATCTGTTTTGCTCAACCAAGCTTATAAACTTGTATCAGACTGAACAAAAGAGGTCAGAATTGTGGGATTTCTGCATCACAAGGGTCACCAAATGGTATTGGAAAAATAATAGTTTCAAACAGGTTTCCCCGAATTCTCCATTGGTCAAACAAACTCACACCATTGGTTAAGCCAATGACAGGCTAGTGCAGACGCTCAAATTAGCGATGGAAAACCTGAAGCTTTTCGAAACGCTGAATTAACCAATTGCTTTGCAAAATGATTCACTGATTCGAACACTCATAACCAGATATGCTGATGGTACCTATTGGTCAAAATGGTGTAAATGCAACAAGAACTCTACCCAAACATGCGTATACAGACACCTTTTACAAACCAAATGGTTCTTCATGAAAGTGTAATCTATTAAATGTAATCTACTAATCATTAAATTTGAAATGTATGTATAATTTGTGTTCTTTTATTAATTTGTAGTAGGCCTATTTGATGTGTTTTTATGCAGGACATGGCTATTTAGGTCACTGTCCCCTTAACATGCATGTTTATTATCAAATTCATTACTGTACCTACATTATAAAACTGACCCGATATCAGTCAAAACCATATGTTAAACACAGATTCATGAATTCACCAGATCTATGGCCTCTAGCTGCGGACCATCAGAATTCGAACGTTTTGAAACCACGGTTCGAAACAGTTTGGCTGCATCCGATATATATACAAGGCAAAAAACAGTTATGTGACAAAAGAAGTATATCCGAATTCACAGTATACTCATAAAAGAGTTGGCAAAAAGTACCAAGACCTACTACTTCAGGCGAGATTCTGAAGTGTTCATTGACAGATCCCATGAGGCCACAGGAGAGGATTTGTGAAAAGGTGTGTTCGACTTGAAGTGGCTCTGCGCAGACCGTTCAGAGCCATCTCCTCTCCAATTTACTCATTACTAGCTCAGGACAAAAAGAGCAGAGTTCTGCAGTGCAGGAGTCATGGTGTTTATACTTTTAAGGGGAATTAGCCAACAAATTTATAGTTAACTCTGCATATTATGGAAAAAGTCAAATCTTTTTAATAAATCAGCTGATCCAGTTTATGAAACCAGTCTAAATGATTCATTCAGGAATCAGTCTGATCCAGTTCTCGAGTTCGAACTCTTTGACTCACTCAAGGATCTGGTCACGGGCACTTATATTTGAGAAGACTTGGGAAGTAAAATTGCCTGTGTTTGCCTCCATTTTGCTGCTTGGTAAGTTATATGTGTTTGAAAAACATGAGGGTGAGTAAATAATGACAGAATTTCTATTGGCTGGGATAATGAACAAAAAAAATTTCCCATTCTTCTCCTCTAATCAGATAATTTAATAAAACGCCTATAAAACACACAAACACACACGCACACTGACATTATGCAGATATGAGAAGACAGTCAGATATGACATACGTGTGTCCATCAGACGTCTGCATATATTTGTCTGTACCTAAATAGAATGCATATGTGCGTTTTTGTTTTCGGATGGGCATTCAGATGTCTATGTTTCTGATTGAGTGAATGTGGGCGCCGCATGTCACTATATATTAAAGTCAGTAAAAAAAATAATGTGTTACCTACGCCTGTCATCCTCCAGCCGGCTACGGACTGTTAAGTGACAGTGATGTTCCATGCCTAAAACTGGGGCCCAGGAGGCCAGCACCTGTAAGAGAGAGACAGGGACAGAGATGGAAAGAGACCCTTCCTGTCTTCCGTCCCAATCGTCAGGTCCTTGACTTCATGCCTCACATCTGACCAGGGAGAAGGTACATTTGACCTACAAGTAGGGTTGTATAGCTAAAATTCAAGTTGACTTTGAAGCAGACTTGATATTCTCAGTGCCTCATCCCATTTTGCTAAAAAATTCATGCACTGAATCAGTATTGCTAAAATGCTATTGGGCAAGTGACTTTCAGCAAGTTTTCATGCAAGTAAATGATCAGTAATCAAATAAGTAGCCTACCTGGACAAGTTTAATGTCGAGCCGTGCTTTTTGATTGTGCTCAAAGTGCTTTTGACTGCCAGTGCAAATACTAAACATAATGGTTCTGTGATTCTACTATTGATTACTTCTACTTTCTTCTCAGCACTTTGTGCTACTTCCCGTCTGACTCACTCAGTTCTTATATATATATATATACACACACACACATACAGTACCGGTCAAAAGTTTGGAAACATTACCATTTTTAATGTTTTTGAAAGAAGTCTCTCATGCTCATCAAGCCTGCATTTATTTGATCAAAAATACAGAAAAAACAGTAATATTATTAAATATTATTACAACTTAAAATAAAGCTTTTCTATTTTAATGTACTTTAAAATATCATTTATTTCTGTGATGCAAAGCTGAATTTTCAGCCTCATTACTCACATGAACCTTCAGAAATCATTCTAATATGCTGATTTATTATCAATGTTGGAAACAGTTGTGCTGCTTATCACTCCATATAAACTACTGGCACTGCATGTTTTATGTATATAAAATATAATATATAAATATATAATGATGCTAAAATGTAAAATTGACTGTTGTCAATACCTCTTAAAATTGTTTATATGAGTTTATGGAATGTAACAGTAAATGTTCTGTATGTAACAGTAAATATGAGTTTATGGAATGTAACAGTAAATGTTCTGACCTAAAAGGCATAATAAAATATTGAAATTAAATACATAAATGTATAAAAGGGTTCACTTGGACTTGGTGTTTCATATGACACCTGACTTGCACCCATAGCCTTACAGTATCCCCCCACACTTTTACAAGCATATGCTGTTTTTGCAACATGCTTTAAGAGAAAGCAACTGGCAGAAACAGAAATTCGAACTATACATATGAATAAAAGATTACCGGTGAATGTTGGAACTTTAAAACTGTGACGTGGGAGGGAAGGTGATGTTTTCCTTAATGAGAGAAACGCTGATTGCTATGTGTTAAAAAAAGAAGTGAAGAACAAAGACTTTGCTTGCGTTTTATAGTTCACAGTTTTTCTGTTTGTCACGTTTGGGGTGCAAATTAGCACTCACAACCCTGTTTAATGTCAACAATGTGCCTGCATTATGTACACAAACAGATACACACACACACACACACACACACACACATAAATGGAGGAAGACAGAATTACAATAATGTGGTTCTTGCACATTACTCTTGAATACTGGCTTCTGCAGTACGTCTAATGTGACACATTACGTTGTCAAGGCAGACTCTTAAAAGCATTTCCTAATACTGCTAGCATAATACAGAACCTATTCTAAGAACTCAGAACCCAGTGTAAAAAAAGGGCTTGTTTTTGCTTTAATACCAGCACAACTATGCTGACATCATTTGACAGATACAGAGTAGACCAGAGTAAAGAAATGAGTACTGAAATGTTAAGATATGGGTTAAAGGTGAACTAAGTAACCTTTTTACCTTAACCGAACAGCTTTGGAGTCATTGTAATGTTTATATTACTGATTTCGTGTTGAATGGTGGTCGTCTCGCACCCCCCTGGTGCCTGTGAGCCGCAAAACCACCCTTGCAACTTTGGGCCAGCGGGCCGCCGGCCTCAGTGTTAGGAAGTATCATGTGATATCAGGTCTCGCGAGGTAACTAATTGCTTTACGGCAAAAAAACGATCTGATAAAATTCTGATAAAATGAGCATCAAACAGAAATAACCCGGCGCCGTATGCATGTGGTGTTCGAGGCGCACATACAATACAGACTGCCGACAGTTAAACAGGGCGCTCGCACCTCTTAAAGGGGCCATTGCTTATTTCCACTCGTTACAGCGTCCATCCTACTGAACAGGTACCGGTGTACAGGGGGAGGGGATCCGGCCGTGAGTGCGAGCCATCTCTGCGTGAGTGCTATTCACGACAGTACAAGTACTCCACAGCGACTCTAGGGGTCGCTGTTTGACAAAAACGGAATTCCTACTTAGTGCTGCTTTAATATATCTCAAACGAATAAATGTCACTTAAAGGTGCAATCACCCTAAGGAAATGCCAAAGTGATTAAATTCTGAAAACTTGTTGACCATTTGCTGTTATGGTTATTTTAAATAACTAATTTAAAATATCTTGCTCAAAAACATAGTGACAAATGTTACCATATCACTATTGTCCCTGCATTTACACTATATCACTATATATAACCAACCGTGGACATTTTTTGTTCCTTTATATTAACATGATTTTTAATCAAATAAAGACTTTTTTAACCATTTTTACACAGATGATTTTGATCTATTAATTTTTAATATATATGTTTATGAATGCTCTAAATACTATATATATACACACACTCACCTAAAGGATTATTAGGAACACCATACTAATACTGTTTGACCCCCTTTCGCCTTCAGAACTGCCTTAATTCTACGTGGCATTGATTCAACAAGGTGCTGAAAGCATTTTTTAGAAATGTTGGCCCATATTGATAGGATAGCATCTTGCAGTTGATGGAGATTTGGGGGATGCACATCCAGGGCATGAAGCTCCTGTTCCACCACATCCCATAGATGCTCTAATGGGTTGAGATCTGGTGACATGGGGGCCATTTTAGTACAGTGAACTCATTGTCATGTTCAAGAAACCAATTTGAAATGATTCGAGCTTTGTGACATGGTGCATTATCCTGCTGGAAGTAGCCATCAGAGGATGGGTACATGGTGGCCATAAAGGGATGGACATGGTCAGAAACAATGCTCAGGTAGGCCGTGGCATTTAAACGATGCCCAATTGGCACTAAGGGGCCTAAAGTGTGCCAAGAAAACATCCCCCACACCATTACACCACCACCACCAGCCTGCACAGTGGTAACAAGGGATGATGGATCCATGTTCTCATTCTGTTTACGCCAAATTCTGACTCTACCATCTGAATGTCTCAACAGAAATCGAGACTCATCAGACCAGGCAACATTTTTCCAGTCTTCAACTGTCCAATTTTGGTGAGCTCTTGCAAATTGTAGCCTCTTTTTCCTATTTGTAGTGGAGATGAGTGGTACCCGGTGGGGTCTTCTGCTGTTGTAGCCCATCCGCCTCAAGGTTGTGCGTGTTGTGGCTTCACAAATGCTTTGCTGCATACCTCGGTTGTAACGAGTGGTTATTTCAGTCAAAGTTACTCTTCTATCAGCTTGAATCAGTCGGCCCATTCTCCTCTGATAGTATCAAGGCATTTTCGCCCACAGGACTGCCGCATACTGGATGTTTTTCCCTTTTCACACCATTCTTTGTAAACCCTAGAAATGGTTGTGCGTGAAAATCCCAGTAACTGAGCAGATTGTGAAATACTCAGACCGGCCCGTCTGGCACCAACAACGATGCCACGCTCAAAATGGCTTAAATCACCTTTCTTTCCCATTCTGACATTCAGTTTGGAGTTCAGGAGATTGTCTTGACCAGGACCACACCCCTAAATGCATTGAAGCAACTGCCATGTGATTGGTTGATTAGATAATTGCATTAATGAGAAATTGAACAGGTGTTCCTTATAATCCTTTAGGTGAGTGTATATATATATATATATATATATATATATATATATATATATATATATATATATATATATGCATATTAATTTGTCATTTCCTTTGAATAGAGAAAAACGAACAGTATAGTCACAAATATTTTTTATCAAACTATCATAACAGTGTCATTTTTATTACCTCATCTGTCGACATGATGCCGGTGAATTGCAGAGCTTGTGCAAACATATCCACATTGCTATGATCAGATGCTTTCTTACCACTGTAACTTTTCTTGTGTGTTTATTTTGTTATCGAGAGGAAAGTTCGCAGCACATATTTACATATTCATCTAAACGTCGCTCTCAGCAGTGTGGACGGCATCTGGATGTTTGTTAACAGTATAAGCAAAGAACAAAAAAAAGACGTAGCCAAGAGAATATCGGGGCATTGAATGAGGTTCAGTCTTTTGTACGCTACGTGTGCACGTCTGCATGAGCTTTGCATTGTTGGCTGCAGTGTACTTTAAGGCCACATGTGTTGCTAATAACAAAGGTTTCTGAATTCTCCATTTAACCCCTTTAAGCACTCAAAATCAATATGAGTTAAATTCAGACCTTGTCATGTAAAACCTCTTTATTTCAACCCTCATGTTGAATGAATAAAACTTTATGGGTTGTAATTCTACATTGACTAGTCGTTATCCTGATTTGAAATGTCCTTATGGGACTAATTTTCTTTAGTTCTTGGTTAGTTTTGAACAGCTCAGGCCTGGACTTGAAACAGAAAATTATTCTTATAGAATCAGGGCACGCCTGCAGGATGATGACATTTTTTCCCCCATTGTTTCTTGCACTTTGTCTACATGTCGACGGCATTTCCCCCGGGGTACAAAGTGTACAGAACAGTCTGAATCATTACACTAATGCCACTATGTGTGCCAGTACGACTCAAAACTTGTTAAGAATGACCCAGTCCATCATTATTCTGTATTAATCATACAAGTTCCAACATTTTAGTTTCACCTTAGTACTTCGCATTATTTTGGGATAGGCATGCCAAAGTATATAGCAAATATGGCTTGTGCATGATAAAGTTGCCAAATTTCAGTTTGGCCTCACTTAGTACCTAAAGGGAGTCATACTTCAATACAGCAGTCTGTACAACTGAAAGCCAAAAACGGCACATACTAATAATTCACATTGCTTGTCTTAGAGAGTTAGTACAGGCTTCTGAAGTAAGAAGGCAAAGTCTCTGGGTTTGGGTTCTTTAATCCAAAGTAATTTCACAATTTGTTTAACGGTTAATGGGATACAGAACAATTATTTACATTAAACTATCAACAGCCTACTGTAGCTTTGCGTGCTTGTATCAACACAAACTTTATAAA